GCCGCGGGCCTGGCTCGGGGCCGGGGTTAGGCACCGACTGCCGCCGAGCAGCCGTCCCCGTAGCGGCTCGCTGCCTGCCGTGCTTGCCTGGATGAGTCTGCGACATGCCTAATAAGAGACGAGATGGGCCAGGGCGACGAGAGCGACCGCATTGTGATCAACGTGGGAGGGACTAGGCACCAGACTTACCGCAGCACCCTCCGCACCCTGCCCGGCACCCGCCTGGCCTGGATCGCCGAACCCGATGCCCACAGCCACTTCGACTATGACCCCCGCACGGATGAGTTTTTCTTTGACCGGCACCCGGGCGTCTTTGCCCACATCCTGAATTACTACCGCACGGGCAAGCTGCACTGCCCCGCGGACGTGTGCGGGCCCCTCTATGAGGAGGAGCTGGCCTTCTGGGGCATCGATGAGACCGATGTGGAGCCCTGCTGTTGGATGACCTACCGGCAGCACCGCGACGCCGAAGAGGCTCTGGACAGCTTTGGTGGGGCGCCCCTGGATAGCAGTGCCGAGGACGGAGACATAGATGGCACCGGAGACTCTGGTGATGGTGAAGAGGAGCTGGAGATGACAAAACGCCTAGCACTTAGTGACTCCCCAGATGGCAGGTCTGGGGGCTTCTGGAGACGGTGGCAGCCCCGCATCTGGGCACTCTTTGAGGATCCCTACTCCTCCAGATATGCAAGGGTAAGCTATGCAATCAGCACCCTCATCAAAACCTCGAACCTCCCTTCCGTCCCGCTTCCTCCCAGCATCATCAGGGTTATCTCCAGTGTCAGAGCAGAGCAGCCATCCGTGTGTGTAGCTGTACAAAAATCACGCACGGGCTATGGGGACATAACGCACGCTCTCAAGCAAGGCCCCACGCGCGGGGCACGAGTGGACACCAAGGCATGAGCTCGGGTACTCATATGTGGGCTTCCAGAGACCCTGTTTTCTAACAGGCTCCTAAAAACCCACAGCCTGGGGCAGGTCCCGTTCATGGGCCAGGGAGATCTCCATTATACCAGGTAATTCCCCTCCATGTACAGATTTTCAGTCAGTCATCCGCCAGTAAAGAGAGGCCTGGTCCAGCCCTCTTATGAGCTAAGGGCTCTCTCCCCTTTACGAGATGGAGAAAGGATCACAGGAGCAGGCAGCCCCTGGGAGACCAGGGGATTTGGAGAGTTTCTCAGCCTAGACTGGAAAGGGAGTCTCTTCCTTTCTCTTTTCTCATACATACCATGTTAAATATTTATGATCATGCTTCTCTGAGACTGGGTGATTCAGTTCCTCACTTACTTCCTCACTCTGTCTTTTCCCTTGTGGGAAATGCAAAGTATTAATCAGAGGAGAGGGTTCATTCATATAGAAGGGATGCTGTGTTTGACAGGTTTCTTGCCTGGCTACTGAAGGACAACTCCTCCCCTCCTGGTGCCTGCGGTTGTTTTGGAAAGGGAATGCACAGTGGTGCAGTTCACAGCGTAGCTGTGGATAAAGATGGTCTTAAACAGTCACCCAGCTCCTCTAAGTAGGTACCTTTCATGTCATTACATACAAGGATAGGTACATTAATTCGGCCTCTGAAGTCAAACGTAAACACTTCAGGAGCAGCAACAGGATTAACCCCCAAGATATCCAGAGTGATAAGCAGGGAAATAGATGAAGGATAATGCCTTTGCGTAGAAACTGGTTTGGATAGGTTTTACTCTCTTAAATGTACCTTTGCTACACCATAATTGCTGCCAGCCCTCAGCAGGGATGAGTGGTGCTTTGGTGTGGGAGGATGATCAGTGTTCCTGAGAAGGATCAAAGAAGTGAGATCAGATTAGGGAGCAAATGGACGAGTGGAGGAAAGAGAAGTGGAAATGCAGGGACAGGGGAGCTGGTTGTGTATGAATGGGTGGTGGAAGAGCAGCTGCTGGAGACTTTCGGCCTGAGCAGAGATCTCCAGCAGGGAGCTGCCAGGTCGCAGGCTGAATGAATGGGGAAAGCTGGAGCAGAGCCTGGAGTTATATCTTGGTGCATTTCTAAAGATTCTTGTTTGCAAACCCGTTAGAGATTTCCTCCCTGAACAAAGAAATTAATATTTTAAATGAATTCCTTTAAATTTCATGGAGGGTAAAGGAATAATAAAATATTTACCATGAGATGGAAGGGTGATGTTGTTGAATTGCAGCTTTCACATCCCTGATTTCTGCCAAGGGAACATGGAAATGGAGAGGAAAGGCTGGAGGGTATCCTTCAAAAGGCTTAGTTAGCTTCCTTTAATCAAGCCCAATGTTAGCAGGCATTGATTTGAATAGCAGGTCTCTGGTGCACAGGAATCTGTTGGTAAAACACATTTCAAGTCAAAGCAGTGTGCTTGTCCAAGATTTTGTGGAATGGTCCAAAAGACAAACGGGTAATGCTATCCCAATGAAAAGGATACAAACAAGAGGCTAAAACTCCCTTTTGCCTGGAAGCTTTATGATATTTTAGGTCACAGGACAAAATTCTATAACCAATATTAAGAGTCTTTGTGCTCTACAAGCTGGAATTCTAGGAGGATATAAATTCCATTTTCTAATTCTCTACAGGTATTTTCATTTAGGAATAGGTGTTTTGTAAAGTTATTTGGATTTGTTGTTTGGGGTTTTTTTTGACTGGATGCTATACCGTTTATTCACAATTATATGTGCATACCTCGTAGAATTCAACCCCTCATTTACTTCTAACTTGTTCTTTCCTTAAAGGATTGTTAAACTAGAGAAATATGAATTCTGGGCAAAGTTGAATTGTATACTGAATATTTCATGGGTTAAATATGATTCTTTAACTTGTATCTATGGAGACGTAGGCAGTATACATTAATATTTTGCATGAAGGAAGATGGCTTTCATCATCAACACATGCACACACTGTCCATTAAGAAGACATTATAAGACACTTAACATTTTCTAATAAAAGCCATAGGTTATAGATACGGATGTAAAAAGAGATGGGAGTTTGATTTATGCTCTTGTAACCTAACACAGACATTGCAAAAACAACTTAAAACTCACAATAGCTAATTTACAGTAAAATAATTGATAGCACCATTAACAAGTGAATGGTATATCAAATCAATCATTAGTAGATTCAGGCAACAAATCCACTGTTACCTCAATTCTAATTGCGTACGCTACTTTTGATTACAAACTCTATTTCAGTCATGCAAAAATTTCAATTCACGTTGCCATTTTGCCAAAAAAGTACATCACAAGAATTTTGTCATCCTCATTGGATCCGAGACTTGTACTAATGGATAAGTATATACATGTTTAGTGTTTACATATGGCACCAGAATGTATGTCAAAATAACATCTTAATACAAGCATCAGTTTACATAACCATTATACTGTTACACTTGGGCAAGTAAAAGGAATATAGTATATGAATATTAAATGAAAACCTGCATGTCCGAATAAAGCACCATTTCTTTGGACTATATCTGGTACACTAATTTAGTGAATGTTTAAGACCTGTCTATGGAAAGCTCAGCGTTTACTCAAATCTAGCCATTGTTGGAGCATTTTGACGGACACTGCTTACAAACACAAGTAAATTTGACCGTTTTGCTTCACCAGCACCTAACTCATACTAAATTACATCTGTTCTCATTGTAAACAGCCAGGGGAGACTGGAAGAACATTTGTGTATGTCAGGCAAAATCAGCTAACTCTGCAAATTTTGCCTGTTTCTAAATTTACTTTGATAAAGCATAAGGTCCCAGGCACTAATCTTTTGTCTTTAGGTGTAACATAGTCAACAGTTTCTTGTTAAAACAACAGTGGCTGAATTTAATTAAATTCTTGTTTTCTAAACACTAATTTTGTAAATAAGGTAGTTGTTTCTAAATGGATTGAATACTTCAAAAAAATTTCATCATCTTCTAAATCTGTAATAAGGGTAGATCCTTTCAAATCACAGATTGCCTAGGACACCTACCTTAAGACAAACGGGTGTCACACTTCTCCATAATTTAAAGAATCCACATTCGGATAACAGAGGCAAAGTCTGGTACCTGGAGGTCTGAACAGAGGAACAGATAAGGTGATGGAAAAGATTAGATTTACAGAGATACTGGGACAGGCATCCGGGTGTATTTTCAAAAGCATCTGATCTAAATATCACTGCATGTCAGTGGACATTGTGCACCCAGATTGGCGAGACATTTCTTTAAAGCTGAGTAGATTTGTCTTTGGCATGTTCAGGCAACTTTGTAAATTAGTTTTTCGTAAGTAGGCGCAAAGGGGCAAATATACTCAGAGACACACAGAAAGCTACACAGATGCACTAAAGCAGCATATCTGAGATCTCCGTTGTAGGAATTCCTGCCTTCTCACTCATTAGAGTTCACAGGCCCCCAGTACACAAATGCATGAAAAATATTTTCTTAGCATCCTCTCTCCTTTATATTTATGTCTGGTCATACTGTTCTTACACTATCAAAGCTCCCACTGTCTTCCTGGGGAGTTTGGCCTGCAGGTATCAAACACCTTTGCCCCCTTCCTTCTCCCCTCCCCAGCAGGACAAGGTTGTGTTTGTGTTAATTCACAGTCGTTATTAGGTTAGTCAGTGCTTGGGAACCAGGAGCTTTCAGCTGAGATTCTCTGCTAGTGCTCATGTTTAAATGGAGTGGTTAAGCTTCATTAATGAACTCTCAGGAAAGCTTTTGTAGTCCTTCCAAATAAACATTTTTACTGTTTTTAAATAAAAGCTGGTTGGGGTCCTATGGAAAGTCCTCAACAGCTTGACTTGCTATCCTGGCATATGCTATACAGTTCTGATCTGGAAGAGGAAAGGCTTATGGCAAAACTCTCACTTACCCTTTCCTCATGTTCTCCCTTCGCATCCTGCAGAAGGATCTGCTTTCCTCAGTGGGTGATTTCTGAAGGACAAGTTTCCAACACTGAGAAGGAGACAGGAAAAAGGATAGTGAGGAAGAGATGAGAAGAAAGGTATTCCCCAGGGATTTCTTCCAGCTTTCTTTTGTACATTGCAGAGCATTTCAACCTTGCTGTGTTCTTTTAAACTGATTTTTCTCTATATAAATTACATCCCATAGGTACGAGGAAGCTTATGGGATCCTAGTTCCTG